CTGGATCACTACTTGGGGTATCCCATGTATTGTCAAATTCTGCATAAATTTTCTACACCTGTGCAATAAAACACAAGATGCTACAACACTCCAAAAGCATTGCATTCAGTTCAACAGATGAGTAGTAAGACAGCTCTGCTCTGAAGAGGTCTCACTGCTTAGTTTTCAAGGTGAAGATTGTCTGGTGACACATACAGATAAGCTCTGCTGAAACTGTACAACTCTGCACACCATCAGGCTGTGGTCTATGTTTCAGAAGGCCTGTTTTGTAGCAGTCCACATGAAAAGGTACGGTCCATAGAGAGCATTGGCTGCTTGGCACCACTCAAGGCATCAGTTCTAATCTGTAGGATCCCAGTGAAGTTGGCATCCTGCTTATTTTGAACTCAAGAGTTTGTCAGAGCAATGCAATCAACTGGTGCTTAGGGACTTGGAAACTAGAGGCAGAGGATTTGCAACAGACATCCTGCTTTTGGAATTCATGTCTCCTGAAGGAGCAGAGGCCAAATACACTGGCCTTCAGGCCACACGGCAAAGCCCATGTATTTATTCATGTATTCCCTGCAGAAAAGAGCTATAGCAGTTGATGAGTTTGTGGTTTGAGATAGCTTGCCAGTTTATTTTAATAGATCACAAAATTGAGAATATGCCCAAACACACATTTCACAAACATTTTCATACGAATAGTTTGAGCATGCTTCAAAGCAAGTGCTATTTAGACAAAGGGAGCGAGTCCACAAGTCTCTCGGGGCTTGCCGTTTGTCTCCACAGACTCCAGACTACAGTGCATTTGTTTATGCTGGGCAGAGCTCCAGCCAGAAGAGCTATTTGTTTCTGATTGAGCCCTGACTGTGTAGGGCCTTGAAAAGAACAGAATAAGTTGCTTTCTCTGCCCTAAACACACACTCCAAGATCTATGGAAGGACAGAACTGAAGGACAAGAAAGGCAGCGATCAGAAGGTAGGAGCTACATGTCCAACCTCACCCTCTTTCACCCCTTTGTTTGAGCTGCTGGAGCTGCACAACTACAAAGATGGAGAGAGCTACCGGCCTTCAGTCCCCTCCAGCCCTGAACCAGCACAGAACCCACGTAAGAGTGAGCTAAGTCCACCCTAGTACTACCACCAACAGAAGAGTTTTTTGGGAGTTTTCAGTCCAGCTACAAGAAAGGAACAGATTGCCTTTGGCAGGTGTCAGTTCCTGCCAAAAGCTGGAGTTCAGGGCTCATTTGCAGGAATAAACAGCCTAACTACTTGTGGACTCTTATTCCAAAGACTGCCTCCAATTTAATTTTTAGAAGTGGCTTAAGTTGAACCACAAAGACACTCTGTGTAGAATAAATGTCCCCATGAGGTTAACACGTGAAATAGTTTAACTTCAAGTTCACTCTCCAACTTGTTTTACAGACAAGTCTTTAACTACTTAAGCTCTTGAACAACCTAAGAAGTTTTGTTTGTGTTCAAGCTCTACTTTTCATAGAACAGTCAATGGAAAGCCTCAGAGAGCCAAGGCAGACAAAAAGCCCCAACTCCCCCATAATGAAGGAATTAAATCACTTACCCAGTGTTTTTCCTTCTTCTGAAGGGGATTTTCTAACAAATCTTCCACATCCATTTTTCTCAGACTCTGAAAAACAAGCACATGAGGTCATTACCTTGCACTGTTCAGTGATTTACTATCTATCCAGTATAAACAACTAATGTTAATCTGAAAATCTTAGAAGCCCCAAATATTCACAACTTCAAAAGGCACTAATATGGTGCAAAGACAGTAGCCTTTCACATTGTGAAAACAGACCTTCAGCTAGGTAGTCCATTTCTAGTGCAATAAGAAGGTTACTTCAGAACTAGGCGAGTGTGTGAAGGCAGAAGGAATAGCAGCTAAGGGGTGATCCCAAATGTACCTCTTTGGAGGTCTGGATAATGGTCACAAGCTTCTGAAGTTCCACATATTCACTAAACAGACTCCTACAGGTCACTTCATAATGGCTGGTAGCCTCAGAGGGCCTGGACAAGTGCTCCTCACAGGCCTGAAAGAAGTGCAGCTATTTAAAAGAGGTCTTGCAATGAAAAAACATAAATAATAATGGAATAAAGCAAGATTCAGTTTTCTCAATCCATGGTTAAAAAACATCTTCCTCACAGCCCCTTTCTATCATTTTTTTTTCTATTGCAGATGCAGAGGAACAAAGAAGCAAGATGTCCAATCTTTTATGTACAATAATGTAAGTAGCTGTGTAATTTATATATCTTGTTTTCCATAAGGTGTGCTTTGAAATAAGTACCTGGAAGGGGAAGCCTCCTGTACAGACAAAGCACAATAAAACACAGCAGGTGGAGTCACTTTTCCTGTTCTTTTCCCCTGCCCTGATCAGACTGAGGGATGGGAAGTTTTTCATACCTTTCAATTATGGTTGAGAGGAAAATATCTGTTTGAGTTGAGACATTCAAACCTCAGCTCTTGCAGAAACTAAGTACTATGGATAAGTGACTTTTTTCCATATCCACAGTTCCCTAGGTATCCAATTTGGAGACTATGTACAGAAGGACTCTGTAGACACAGCTGTGAGAGTGCCATGCTCAGTCTTCCTTCCACAGGCACTTGTGCATAACTAAGATGGGTTTACCTTTTCCCTCTGATGGGAAAGCCATGTGCTCCCTCTATGTCCTTCAACAAGCCACCCAGCTTTTTACCAGAAATGGTCTGGCCCTTTGGTTCACAGCATTGTTCCATCAACTCCTCTAAAGCTGCTGTATTTACTAAGTGGGAAGAAGGAAACCTTGATAACATCCTGCAGGGTGACTGCTGGTTTCATTGCCTCATCATCCAGTTTCAACATGAGGCACAGCAGTTTCTCCAAAGGATCACTCAGTTCTCGCTCCACTTGGCTGTCGATTCCCCAGTCCAAGGCTTCATAGATCACCACTCCCAAGTACTCCAGCAGCTGCAGAGACCAAGGAAGCAGTGCAGCACAAAGTGTTGTGGAAAACTTCAAAGCTCTCACTTCCCAGCCGTACATATACCCCACGCTACCCCTCAGAGCTGAGCACATCTCTCAGGATGTGGAGGGCCCAAAAGGCATCTAGATGCTCATTGTGTAGCCTGAGATACTCCCTAAGTTTTAAGATGGCCTTATCTAGCACCTCTAAGTTACCTGTTATTAAGACAAAAGGACCGTGGGCTATTCCACAGACGGCAGCATCTGTGCTCATTGTTTCCCAGTCCCATTGTTTAAGTTCAGCCCGAGCATATTTTTTTCTTCATTTTCCAGATTGCAGTGGACAGTCACTCTCACAGGGAACAGCAAATTTAAGCACCTGGATAGTTTCCAAAGACATCTGCACCTCCTGAGTTGGCCTTTTGCTACAGCAGGATTATATCTGCACACATATGAAGATGAAGACAGAGGCTTACCTTGTCCTCTGACTGCTGAATGCTGCCAACATCTGAAAAGGAGAAAAAAAGAGGGGATAGGGAGCAAGATAACCGCATAGGCATTGATAAACAGCTTTTAGAATCACGGTCAAGAGAGACAAACAGGAAGAATTCTTGATAATAAGGAAACAAACCCCTCTGACTAAGGTCAGTCCCACCTAGGGAAAGTAGGCCTATGTTTGGAGACTCCTAGAAAGCAACACAGGATACTCTTCTTATTGTGAGCATTAGCCCCAAACTAACTGCTGCTGGGTACTTTTTTTGTTTGCTAATAGATATCTAACTACAAGGAAGGCACTGGATCTTTGTCTTCATTTTTTATTACCTGCTGTTGTCCCTGAAGAGTCAGCCTAGCATTGACCTCTTCAGCAGCGCATAAGACAAAGCTTGTTGCCACTTGGTGGCTACACATAGTGATAAAAAGGGAAACTGCCAATCATAGATAAGTTGTGAGAGTTACTATAATAAAGGAACCATACCTTGGAAGATGAACAGAGCAGGACATATAACAAAGCCTCAGACTTTTTATTGCAAATAACATAAGTGGTAACAAACTTTCATCCCAGCTATTCCCTAGAATCAAATGACTCACTAGAGCACTATTAGAAAAATTAGTAGGCTGTACATCTGTATTACCGCTCATCTATAGTCCTTTCCAATGAAGCACAGGCAGCAGCATAGCCTTGCAACAACATAAAGAGAGAGGAGAGGGAGAAAAAAGGGCAATAAAAAAAAATAATCCCCACTTTGCCCCCCTTTTCAGCCTGGTATAGGAACAGCCCTTGGCATCCACAGCTACCTATGCTCTTACCAGACTTGTGGTACACCTTAAAGGAAGCAGTACCATCAGCATGGATAAAGATGCTTCCAGGACCTTTTATGAACACAGAATGGAGTGGTGTGTACAGCCCCATAGACAGCTGCTCCATTTTACGGCAACACTGAAAGCAGATAGCCCAGGCTTGCTCCTCACTTATAGGATGTTCAAAACACCTCAGAATCTCAGCTAGAGAGACCTTTGTGATCCTCTGCTCACACCATGGAGACTCCATTTTCATTTCACCTCTCATCTCATCTCCACTCTTAGCCCAGGAAGCTTAACACCCTCCTTCCTAGGATAGGCAAGAGCTCATAACAGCCTTTTATCAGTTCTGCCTCCCGGTTTGCTCTCAGAACTCTCTTCCCTACAGGTGCAATCATTAATGCCAATTTTGCTCTGTCTTTTTAAAGGGACACCACTTTAACATGCATTTGTATGAGACTCCTTGAAAGAAAACAGAAATTACACAACAAAAGGGAATCTAAAGAGATAAGAGCGTACAAAATTCATGCTCAATTTAACTCCATTGTTTCTAACAAATATATTAATGAGAATACCAATGTTGGCAAGTAAGAAAAGAGTACGTTCAATTTCAGGCAGAGAGGGACGGAGGCAGGAAGTAATGTCTTTTACTCAGGGGAGAAAAACTCAGAGAAGACCACAAAAATTCAATCCATTTGACGGGCTGCCGTTCTGGGCACACTAATATATCACAGCGATCAACTCCACGGGGGACCCGCATCTGCCACAGGCCTCGCTCCTGCCTGTCCTCCTCCCTTTGTCCCTGCCACAGCCCACCCCGGCAGCTGGGGTAGGAGCAACACAGGCAGGGGCCGGGCAGCCGGGCAGGCACCCAGGGAGAGGGCAGCAAGGCCCGCCTGTGCTCAAAAAGCCAGTAGGAATTGCTGCTGGTGTGAAGTTACCCAGATTTTTTTGCACTTTGGGCTCCCTGTGCGTGCGATGGGAGGGGACAGTCGCACGCCTTGTGACAGGGCTGTCCCCTGAAGAACTCTGCTCTTGCTGCAGCGCATCACGGGGGCCTTCAGCAGCCAAACAGCTCAAGCTCCCGAGGCAGATGCAGAGGAACTTTTAAAAGTGTGAATAACACTCAATTTATATTTGTTTCCCTTCTCACTTATGACATTTTGGGCACGCGGCGTGTCAGAGCCAGGCCCTGCGCCTTGGGAGAGGCGTGCAGGCTGCCCTGCCTTGGCGTCACCGGGCCGTGCGGTGGGTGCCCACAGGCAGCGCACCCCACACGGCAGCGGGGGGCTCACGGCTGCCCCGTGGCCTCTACTCAGCCCCGGGCATCCGCTTGGCCACAGTGTTTGGCCGGGCCCCACTCCCGCCTGCCGAGCCGGCCCTGCCAGGAGGCCCCGAGCTCCCCGCGCCCACGGGGGCCGGGAGAAGCCCGGGGGCGTCCC